GAAAAAAATTTTTTTAGAACTTTGTATTTATATAAATATTTTTATTTAGAATTTTATGTTATTGAAATGCCATTTGTGTTCTTTTGTCCTGCTCAATTCTTTGGTATCTGCAGGATGACAAAAACTTAGAGTTCATATTAGGCACACCTATTTGAATTATTGGGTGTTTTGTTGTTGTTGCTGTTTTTTGAAGCACTGAAGATCTCTAAACAATCTTCTAAAATATTATACTCCATTTTATGAACATCAAACAAAAAGGACCTATAAAAACCCTATTACATTCAAAGAGTACATATAATAAACTCCTCCTTCAGGGCAGAAAAGTTCCAGGGATTTATATAACTGATTTAGCAAAACAGTATAAAATATTAGTTGTCACATTTGATAGAACAATTAAAATCATAGGCTGCGAGGTAGTTCTGACATTAGACTCTGTTTACCAGTAAAAAGCCATAAATTCTTAAGTCATGGTACCAGAAGAAATTCAGTCATACCAACTAGCTTTCTTTTGCTAAACTCTACTCTTCCCCCTGTCCCAGACTCTAACGTATTAATTAGGGCCACAGAAGAGGTCCCACAGATGAAACATACATTAGGAGCCCCAGGAACCAATAGCTGCTACCCACTGATACCTGGAGAGATAATGGAATGCATTTCCCTCCACATCATGTACTGGATGGGACCTTTGTACAGGCCCAAGTTCAGGTTTCTGGAGATAAGCTCTCTGGGTGTCAGCACTTTTATTCCTTTCTCCAAGCTGCACGGGACATAAATAATTTATTTTAGATATTCTCCAGGGACTGAAGATAGGGTAAGAATACCATATGGAAATACCACTTACCTATTTAAGAAAGGTGTGATGTCCTAGAAGAGGAAAAGAGAAATTAGATGCCTGTTCATCAACTGCAGAAATTTCTTTGGTGATACTCATCCCTGGGATTTGATTGTCAATACTGGGACCCATCACCACCTCTCATCCTCCATGTGTGTTTTCTGATCTGCCTCCTTCATCTAACCCAAGATAAGCTGGTCTTATCTTGCTCTTATTTTCTAGCTCCCTTTTACATGGAATAAGAGAGAAGTTAAGGTTAGGCTACATTTCCCTATACTGCTATAGTCTCAGGAGAATACAAGAGGTCAAGCATGCCAAACTCGCGGCCCGCGGGCCACATGCGGCCCACAATGAAAATTTTTTGCGGCCCAGCCAATATAACAGTATGTAAGAAACGTTTTAATAAAAATTTTGTAACTTCATTTTTATAATATCCTGTTATACAGAATTATTAATAATGAACTACAATGTTTGCTAATGACTGATTACTATAATCATGTTGCATTCATTTCCCTTACGCGCCTTACACACAGGCGCATCATTTCTCTGCACTAATACTAGCAGCGAATATTTTAGCACCCGAATTTACTAAATAGCACTAATATTCATTATTTTAGCAGCGAATATTTTAGCACTGCCATGTCATTAGTCTTGTACTGACTTGTTTGGTGTGCACAACAGGAAATACTTCGCTTACAGAGTACAAGAAAAATAGTTTTGTGTTACACTTGTTAATTTGTGCAGTTATTCAGTATCTGGTAAGTTAACGTTCAAGAAAAAAAATATTAATTTTTGTTAAAATGTTCTATTATTTTATGTTAATGATTCATTCATTCCAGCCCTTTGTATTCAGCATGTTTCTATCGAAATAAACCTACGTGTCTATGAAAATTGAAGTTTTTGTGTTTTTTGCAGCCCACATAAACTTAAACCTTGTTTATGTGGCCCATGTTAGCCTTTGAGTTTGACATGCTTGCAGTGGGTATTCTCACCCCAAGGCCACTTTTCCCCACTCTGGCTAGTTAAGCTACTGAATGCTGAAGTGGTAACCAACGCCACATTAGAAGTGAACTTTCAATGACCAAATACTGACAAATAGCTTTTCAAACAGGTCAATGTATGATTTCTGAGGGCCAAAGATACAGCTTAGGTTGCAACATTTTATTTTTAAGAAATAAAGCTTCAAAAGTTCTTTATGAAGAAATATTAAAATATTAATTCATACGGTTATTATTGGCGCTTTATTGTCTTCCTTTCTAGGGGGGTGAAAGGAAAGCTTTCTATCGAGTGTAAGGCAAAAGTAGCTTCCTGCTTTTCCCCCAGAGAATTTTTTAATTTATTTTTTTATTGTTGACATTATTACAGATGTCCCGCATTTCCCCCTTCACCTCCCTCCACCACCCCTGGCAGATTTTTTCCCCTTCATTGTGGGGAAAAGCTGCTTCTATATCCTTTCTGGCCCTCTTTCCCCTAGTAGCGTACCCAGTCATTGATATGGAGTCTTACTTTGAGAAAGTTGAAGGAGTTCTGCTCGTCCATCCGTGCCTGGATGCTCACCAACATCTCCTTGACTAGGAGATACTGTTCCTGAAGCTGGTTCAGATTCAGCTCCATTTCCTCATTCAAGACTTTCCCCTCTTCCCGAAGCTCCTTTAAAATGTCCTTTTCTTTGCCATGCAGAAATTGATGCAGCTTTAGAAACTCCACGGAGATGTGCTGCTGCAGATGTAGCTTGTTGTCCTGGAAACCTCCATGATCATCACCAGGGTAATTCCTGAGACTAGCTCTTGGGGATGGGGGCCCACACCAACAATACTCACACAACTTGGGAAATACCATAATAGGAAAATGCATAAAAAATGCAATATCAACATTGAGCCATACTAAAAGGAGCCCTTTTTGTGGCAGATGGGGAGACGTACTCCTTCTTTCTCAGCTAGTTTAGCAATTCAGGATGAAAGAGTCAAAAGTAACCTGCAGGTTCCTATTGCAGTACTGAGGTGGTAACCATTGCCATGTGAAATAAGACTCTGGGTTAATCAAACTCCTACCTACAAGTATAAGCCAATATCTACCAAGTGATACTGTTAGACTGGGGTCATAAGGAAGTGGAAAGAAATATCCTTCTCGAGAAATCAAAACATCAGAACTGGGGGGGTGGGAGGGGACACTCCTGCTGCCAAGACAATATAAAAGAAGAGATGGGAGCCCTAGCCAGAGTGGCTCAGTTGGTTGCGCATTGTTCCATGCACTGAAAGGTTGCTGGTTCAATTCCCTTTCAGGGTACATGCCCAGGTTGTAGGCATGCAGGAGGCAGCCCATTGAAGTTCCACTCTCACATTGATGTTTCTCTCCCTCTCCCTTCCTCTCTCTAAAAAAAATCAACAAAAAACTTTTTTTTTTAAAAAAAAAAGAAGAGTTGGGAAATGTTTGAAGCACTAAAATTGATAACTGATATACTTGCAGCTCTTTTCTTAGATGACCTCAATATCCTCATAGGTGAGCCACCTGATATCCTGGCTTCTTGATTCCTTATTCTCATTTCTAATGATTTCCACCTTTGTCTATTAACTAGAGGCCCGGTGCACAAAAATTTGTGCACTGGTGGGGGGCTGGTATCCCTCAGCCCAACCTGTGCCCTCGCACAGTCTGGGACCCCTTGGGAGATAACCACCTACTGGCTTAGGCCCGCTCCCCGGGTGGCAGATGGCAGGCCCGATCCCGCGATGCCTGCCCCGCCTCCCTGGGTCGCACATGGGAGGCCCGGATGGCAGCGGGGCGCCCCACCTGCAGTATGCAAATTTAACGGCCATCTTTGTTGGGTTAATTTGCATACTCTTCTGATTGGCTGATGGGTGTAGCAAAGGTATGATTAATTAGCATCTTTGTCTTTTATTAGTGTAGATTCTTAGTTACACTGAGGATTTTATCATCCCCAGTAATTTCACCATCTCCAAAATTAACTTTTTACTCAGGTATCCTTGTTGCAATTTTGGGTCTCATTGAAACCTGTGTAATGACCCCTTCGTTTCTATTTCTTCAACTTCTTCTGTCTTTATGTCCCTTTTTTATCTAGCTTGGATTCTATGGTCCATCATTGTTATTGTACTCTTAAAATTGTCTTAACTCTCTCTTTCCTCTAGCTCAGTGGTCAGCAAACTCATTAGTCAACAGAGCCAAATATCAACAGTACAAGATTGAAATTTCTTTTGAGAGCCAAATTTTTTAAACTTAAACTATATAGGTAGGTACACTGTTATTAACTTAATTAGGGTACTCCTAAGGCTTAGGAAGAGCCACACTCAAGGGGCCAAACAGCTGCATGTGGCTTGTGAGCCACAGTTTGCCAACCATGGCTCTAGTCTAGCTCATACTTTTCTAGCTTTCCTTTCACTGCTATTTCTTAGTCTTGTTAGTTCTACAGTTACTTATGGCTTTTTCCTTCTCATTCTATATCCAACTGTCTATTTGACATCTACACTCACACCTAACATCTAATGAATCACTCCATCCAGGTTATTATTTTTTTAATCTCCAAAGCATATGCTGAGGCTGTTTACGTCTTTCCATCTCCATTGCCTCTCTAGACCAAGCTACTATCATCATTCTATGGCAGTGATGGCGAACCTATAACATGTGTGTCAGAGGTGACACGCGAACTCATTTTTTTGGTTGACTTTTCTTTGTTAAGTGGCATTTAAATATATAAAATAAATATCAAAAATATAAATCTTTGTTTTACTATGGTTGCAAAGATCAAAAAATTTCTATCTGTGACACGCCACTAGAGTTAAGTTAGGGTTTTTCAAAATGCTTACACGCTGAGCTCAAAAGGTTCACCATCACTGTTCTACGGGGTCATGTGGTAGCTTTCTAAACATTATTCTTGTCATTGTCTCTCTTAATTCATTCTCCACACAGCCACTAGACTGAAATTTTCAAAATGAAAAGTATTTCTTTGGACATAGCTATCTTTAGTGAATTTGCCATAGATAAATTTCTTATTTTGCCATAAATAAGAGGAAAGACCAGAGAAATCACAACCCCACAAAAATCACCCAGCAACTGAACCATCAAAAGGAAGAGCATATTAGGGGAAAGGCCATTGTACGCTCCCTGTTTATCAACTATAGGGAACTTGCTCTACTGCTATGTTCCTTTCCGCCCTACTGTGTCCATTCTTTAATTTTATAACCCAAGTTTCATTTAGTGTATTGACACTATATGTATAGTTACCTTTCCACCCTAAGGTTATAAGGAGGGTACATTCTAGTTCTATCTCATAACCCCCTACCTTGCTCCTCACCTTGTAAGCAGCAATAGCGTCTTTCTGCCTGTTCCTCAGGGACTGAAGTTCCTTCAGGGTTGCCTCCAGTTGACCCTTAATGATGATAAACTCCTCCTGGGAATACCGCATAAATTCAACCCATACTGACCTGGGAGATGAAGGGCCATAAGGGACATCTCCCCCAAAGCACTAGTATGTCAGAAAAAAAAGCCAGCTCTTGCTGCAAAAGTCTTTCCTTTTCCCCACGTCATAGTTCCTGTCTCTTCCAAGAATAGTGAAGGAAATTATAAGCAGCAGAAAAACTTAGGTTTTTTTCTTTTTACCTCCTTAGTTAACCACAGGGGTTTGAGGAAAGTAACAGAACTCTATACATTTTCTACCCTAGTTACACTGTTCTAACTACACCTTTATTCACGTTCTCACTTAGAATACTTATTTCTTCCTTTTGTCCATCCAAATCCAAATGATTTTCCCATTCAAACTTTCTTTCACCATACATCACCTGAATGTTTCAATTTTTTCTAATCTTTTCTGAAATTCTAAACATTTATGAATTACTAGTGTGACAAAATTTAGCTCTCAATAGTAATTCTAAAATTACTTGGGTTTTTTTTCATTTTGACTAAATTTCAAGAGTTTTATAACAAGAGCAATATTGTATGCATCCACATTCTGCGTGGTGTCTAGTAGAGCACTGCCATGGCAGGGTTTTGGTAAATATTTGATTAATTGGATAGTAAGCTACAGCTTCTCCACTGCTCCTTTCCCATTTTAGCACCTCTAGAGAAAGAACATTGTAAGATATATTTTCAGAGCATTCTGGTCTTCCTAATAATCATCTGAGTAAAAGGGTGAAATTGGAAGAGAGAAGTCCTACAGAAAATATTTTCCCCAGCTCTCCTAACAGATTGTTCAAGGCTCACCTACCGTGAAGAAATGGACAGCATCAGCTATCTGCAGGAACTCTTTGGACTGCCCTACAGACAACCGAGCATCTTTGCATTGAAAGCAGATCAGCTTCCCTTCCGGCTTACTGAACAATTTCAGGTTCTCTCCATGTTCTGGGCACTGTGGATGGCCCTTGAGTAAGGGTAGATCCTTAACCTTGTCTACCAGCCTCTCCAGTACAAGGTTGAATGCACAATTGGCATATTGACACATCATCTTACACTTAGGACAGAACGTTTCCTTTGTTTGCTGCTTCCAAAAGTTTTGAATACAGGCCTGGCAGAAGTTGTGGCCACAGGTTAGCATAAGTGGATCCCGGAACCAGTCATTACACAGTAGACAGTGTAGCTCCTTAGTAATATCTTGTAGCTGCACGTTAGAGGGTATCTGAGTGATCAAGTCATTTGCTTCAATGTAGTTGCCTTGGTCAGTGTTGGAGGAGATTTTGGGAGATACCTTTGGAAAAGAACAGTTAAAATGAGTTCTCTTTCTAGCTATCGACTCCAGGATAGTGGACTCCACTCCTAAAGAAGTTGAGAATTGGTGCAGCCAAAGTAAAAGCACCATATCTCTTCTTTGAAAATGATCTGATAAGTTTTGTAACATCATCATTTATTACTACTTTCAACACCATTTAAACTTTAGTAGAGAACCAAGACAGAAGAAAGAATACTCAACCAAAGAAATATGTTTTGTTGTACATCCCCCCTCCACTCACTTTTTTTATGTATCAGTTGAAAGTTTTACCTTCAACTTCTGTTCTAGTTATTACCTTTTTTTGTTTTGGGTTCTAGAAGTCAAGTACAAAGAATTAGAAGATCAATCAGATTCCTCAGTCAATGGCATAGTATCATTCAGGCCTTCTGCTCTATTTTTTATTTTTGTTAATCCTCACCCAAGGATATTTTTTCCCCATTGATTTTTATAGAGTGGAAAGGACGGGGCAAGGGAAGGGGGGGAGGAGAAAGAGAAAAAAAGAAACATCAATGTGAGAGAAACACATCAATTGTTGCCTCTTGCACATGCCCCAACCAGGGCCAGGAAAAGAACCTGCAAGCCAGGTATATGCCCGTGACCAAGAATAGAACCCATGACCTTTTGGTCTGCAGACCTACACTCTACCACTGAACCACACCGGCCAGGGCCTGACCTCCTTTAAGAAAAATTACACAATCATCTGAGTAAAGGGGTGAAATTGGAAGAGAGAAGCCCACAGAACATTTATACAGAAAAATGCAGAATCTTACTTGTACAGTTCAATGACTTCCAACACTAAACCTTAGTTTTGCCTATTTTTGAATTTTATATAAATTTTGTGACGTGTTCTTGTTGCTGGCTTCTTTTGTCAACCTTACATTTGTGAGATTTATCCATATTGTTCCAAATATACACATTTCTCTTGGCTATACACCTGGAAGTGGATCATAGGATTGGCATATTGTATAGAATGCCAAACTTTCTACACAGCCCCTAGGTTTGTCCCATATCTTTATCAACAGTATAGATATACAGGGTATCCCAAAAAAGTGTATACACACAATACCTGTAGATTCCATTACATTTTGAAGATGAAATGGATTTCAATAAACACTGCCGTTATAATTATCCAAAGTTTATATACATTTTTGGGGGGACACCCTATATTTATTTTAGCCATTCTGGTGGGTATGCAGTAGTATTACAATGTGGCTTTAATCTGCATTTGCCTAAAGACTGTGGATATTGGGACCACTTTCAGATGTTAATTGTCCATTTGCATTTCCCCATTTGTGAGTGCCCATATAAGGCGCATATTTTATTGTT